TTCTAAAGGAAATCAACCCTGAGTGCTCACTGGAAGGACAGATGCTGAAACTGAGGCTCCAATACTTTGGCCATCTCATGAGAAGAGAAGCCTCCCTGGAAAAGGGAGGAAAGTGTGTTAGGAAAGTGTGAAGGCAACAGGAGAAGGGGACGACAGAGGATGAGATGGATGAACAGTGTCATCGAAGCTACCAACATGAATTTGAGCCAACTGTGGGAGGCAGTGGAAGACAGGAGGGCCTGGTGTGCTCTGGTCCATGGGGTCACGAAGAGTCGGACACGACTAAACGACTAAAGAACAACCCCCCCACCTCACCCAAGAGCAGTTCTCAGGAGCGTCCTCCTCATTTTCCCTTTTGCTTATCTGAAAATTGTGCAGTAACTGCAGCAGCTAGCAGTGAAAAGCAGGGACAAAAAAAAGTTTCCTCTCCTTCTTCTTTACTGCTTTGGGCTACAATTCCCAGAATCCTTAAAGATTAAAGGTTGATAGCTTGGAGAATTCTGGAAATCATAGTCCAAACAAACTATTCTTGCTTCCTCTTTCCTTTCTGTGATCTTGATGCTTGTAACTTGAAGGAGGGATAGAAGTCCCAAGGAACACTACCTATTCAGCTCCAATGAGCCACACTACAGAATATCAGAACAGGAGCAGAAACAGAGCAAGGGAAAGATGGGGAAAATCATTTATCCTCCCTGTTCTTCACCACTGCTACAGTTTATGTTCCCACTTGCAGCTCAGTAACAGAAACGCCAGAACATATTTTTGGGGCCTGGCAAAGATTTGCTTTGGTGGATCAGTAAGGATGGCAGAGATGCAGAGGAGAATACAGTAGTCTGGAACTTTCTCCAGCCCATATTTTGCTGAGCCTGGGAAGGATTTAAGGCTGAGGTGGAGGTTAAAGTTTTTAATTAGCCTTTTAAAAATGTGATTCAGAGCTAGGCTCAAATAAATGTGTAATGGTATGGAAAGCCTTGCTCATCTTCACTCTTGGAATATTTAGTAGGGAAAACTTCCAAGAAATCCTACAAAATTTCCTTTTGGAGTTCTCATGGAGAAAACAAATCTTGTGCAGAGAAATCTTACTGCAAAAGGTGACATCTATCCACACTGATTCTTTCTGAGAGCAAAAGGCTGTAAGAATCACATCCTAACAGGATTAAGAAAGAATTAATTTAACCATGGCTAGCTAACTACCTACCTAGCAAATTCAATATGTGCTCTCTGGCCCTATCAATCTAGATTGTCTTACTTTATCTATCGTCAGAGTGAACAATTTTAGCAACGGGATTATAATCAAATAAATTTATTGTCATTGTAAGTATACACATAGTATACCCATACAATGAAATTCACTCAGACACCCAGAGACCAGACCCACATGCACACACACACACACAAAAAAATCCCCAAACACTCCTAATGATGGTCATCTGCTTTTGCCAATGTATTTTAGATCACAGGAATAGGCTAATATTAGAGATTCACTAAAATACTTACAAACAAGGAAGACCGGGTTTGGTTGTTTAATAAAATCTGGGAAGTATAACCATTTGATGATATTAGAGTTGAAGTTTGCATTAGGACTTCTCCATGGATAATCTACAAAGGCAGAATGAAGACCAGTTACTGTACATCCTTCACAGCAGGATATTTCAAATTTTTGGCATGTTGTTTGTTTTTTTAGAGGTAATTGCACCTTCTTCAATTTAGTATATTCCAGATATTCCAGACTGTAACTTCCACAAACTTTAGCCAGTATGGCCAACACGTAGAACACGGCAAAGCTGCTGTATAAGCAAAAAATAATCATTATTTGTAGACGGCAAGAGGTACCATACCTTTACAAGGAGCAGGTGGAATGCCAATACAGATGAAGTACTGGAATGTAATGATGCATGCCAGAAAACAGCAGTACTTTGGCCAGATCTCTGCGATAGCTTTTCTTCTCCGTCGATACAGTACAGCAATTAAAGCAAAGGCATGAATCATGGCATAGAAATCCATTCTCTGACCAATTACATTTACTGACAAGAGGAAACAGCTCTGTGATAGTGATACAAGAATGCAGAATTTACATCTTTGGATAGTCCATTATGAGTATACCATTCACAGAAACCTGATGATATGGAATGTATGGTAACAGTTGCCAGTTTATCAGCATGTAATAGTTCATAAGCTTTTTTAAAATCAATATTCTATGTTGTATATATCTTTATATCAACAATGACTAATTATAGATATATAACACTTCTTGCAAACAGAAGTTTGCACAAATATTGTGCTAAATCATTAGGAACAACTCTGTATGCGCAGACCTGCATCCCTACATTTTAAGCCATGTTTCAGAAGACCCAAGAGAGAGAGGCCAGCTAAAAAGACAGCTTCCTGCCTAAATCAAACTGGAGTTGCTACAGCTAAAAATAACCAACAATTAGGAAATCTAATGTGAAACAAATTTACCATTTTAAAAGAAAACTGGGGAGAGGGACCCTAAATCAGGTAAAACTGATGGTGATGGTGCTAAGCTATAGCAAAAATGTAGCCTATGAGCAAACAGAAAAATTTACTGCCATAAATCCAGATTAGCATCTTAACAGCAGCTAATTGGACCAACAGCACTATTCTATCATGCAGTTGCTTCACTATTTGATTCCACATCCACTGCCACCAGATTAATTTCTAGACTCAACTCAAAATCCTGAGGCACTTTTGCTTTGGGACCAACCATGCAGTAAGAATAGGAATAGATATCCTGGTCTTTAAGATACCTAAAGAAATCACCTCACCACAGGTTATTTCTGTACACTACCATCTTTATCAGAAGCTCTTCTCCAGATTCCTTCCCACCTAAATGACTAAAAGGAAAAGAGCATAGTCAGCAGAGCCTACACAGTGACAGTAGGGATGTACCATTCTCTTTCTGTATCCTTTGTGTGTGTGTGTGTGGGTGTGTGGGTGTGGGTGTGGGTGTGTCTCCTTCTGTTCCAGGTGAGTGACATATAGCTAGGTGTAGGTATGTGTTTGTGGGCAGTAGTGACAGTAGGGACGTACCATTCTCTTTCTGTATCCTTTTTTTATGTGATGGTGGTGGGCCTCCAACTCCGTGGGCAGAATCCTGAGTGTTTCTGCCCACAGACACACATCTATATTTCACTCACGTGAAACAGACCTCATCTTCCAGGCTGTCTCAGGCCTACTTCCCATAGAAAAGAAAATTGCCATAATTTGTGGGAGGTATAGATATTTTAGGTGCCCTAATAGAGCCTAATGGGCAGCGGCAGCACATAAGTCACAAAGAACTTGCCAGAAAGTACTGAGCAGCTCCTTCTGTTCCAGGTGAGTGACATAAAGCTAGGTGTAGGTATGTGTTTGTGGGCAGGAGTGCCTGGGGAATTCCCGGAGAATCATGGGGTTTGGAATCCAAGAAAGGAAGGAAGGAAATGGCACATGCCTAGCTGACAGTGAAATGTTCTCACTAAGAGGCTCATTTCATAGTTACATTTTGATGACATTCAAATACCAGGCCGAATTTTTTCCACATGTCACTTCAGTTTGATTCATTTTACTTTGACTAAGCTTGCTCTTTTTAGGTAGCTGTTACTAATTTTTTTTAAAATAAACTTTTAAAAATACATGTTTAAATGTCACTATTATATTTTAAACATTTTTCATTGTGTTTTAAAATTGTACAAGTGCCATAAGAATTTCATTGAAGAACATGGTATGGATGTAACAGATATAACCTTCAAGATCACACCACCATAGAAATTACTGTTTTTAATCATGCTGGCTCTGAATTTACCTCCAAACCAAATTTGTAGAAAAAGTAGTTTACAAAGTACTTGAGACAACTGATTACGCCATCATCCAAATGTAATCGGGTAATGTCATGAAAAATAGTTTTGGTTTCAGGTGCTGTGAGATTGTTCCGACATCTGTAGTATTCCTGATGTCGATAAATTGTAACTTCAAAGGCTAGAATTGCTAACATTAGCAAGTTGTTCTGCAAGGGGAAAAAAGTCATAAGAGCCACATACAATGAACACACATAAGCCTCATGCAACTTGCAGCAATATCTCCCCCTCCATACCAAAAATCTATACCTAATGAACTGATAACAATATAGTAATGTTTTTTTTTCTTCCCTATTTGTGATCATACTGCATACTTACATATGACTACATAGCCATCTAAAGTGTATGATTGGTTGGAAAGACTGGTTAGAGTTCATTTACTGGGAAGGCTTCTAGTATAGGAGGTATAATTTCCAGGGAGGCAGTCTTGATCTTTATCTGTATTTTATTTTAGAAATTATATTCTACTTTACTCTTCCTTTTTCTTTTAATAATCTTCACATTGTCTATATCACACCTACCCAAGAAATGGGGAAATAATATAACTCTTGCAAGCCTTAGGCTTCAATCCTATATTCAACTTTCCTGGGGTCAACTACACTGAAATCACTGACACTTCATTTTTCAATTGACATGTATAAAATTTCATTGCTAACTTTGAAAATCCGACAGTAGCAACATAGCCTGCTTGTGAAAATATCTGCTTCCAAAACATTGGCTTAAACCCAAAATTAGTCTTTCCTAGAGTTAGACGCACTGATGTCAATGGGACTTAAATTAGTTATGATCAACATAACAAGCCCCATTCAGAGTACTTCAAGTAAGCTTAATGTTGGATTTGATCCAGCATTTCAGTGGTCTGACACAGTGCTCATTTTCCAGAAGAATCTCTGTGTGTCAGGACTTGAGGTTCTAAATCATGAGTATCCCACCTGGGGGTCATGAGCCCCAAGGTGGTTGCAAAGTGTTATATGGGGAGTTCCCATGCTTAAACAAGCCAGAGGTTTCTATCCATATGTCTGTGATGAAGCTGCCAGGTTACCAGTTGCTTTGCTTTCTCTGGAAGTTGGGTTCCTAGAGAGAAAGGAGGCAGCAGGATATGGTGTGCAGACAAATAAAGAGGCCCTTCCTGTCTCTCTTTTTCTTCCTCCATAAGAAAGTTTAGTTGGCTATTATAGAAAGGGATCATGGCTTGAAAAGGGTTGGGAAGCACTGTTTCAAATGTCTCTCTTTCAACTCAAAGGTCTCTGTACAAATGGGTATCAAACAATTTTCTTAAGATCAATAAGAGAAACCATCCTAATCTGGGAGGTTACAAGCATCATTTAGCTGTCACTGTCCCCGTATAGTCGAGTTCTCCATCTCTTTTTGTAACAATGCTTCTGTTAGATCTCTTTGATGTAGCTTTATTCAAAATGGGATATAATGAGGAAACATTGAGGCTCTTTATCAAGAATTTAACTACTGTTAAAAGAGTAAAGCAGACGTGTGCATGAGAGTTGGTGGCTCTGTTTTTTGTCTTGATATAACCCAATCCACCTCTGAAGATCGGTAGATTTTCTTTCTGCACCCTTACAGTGAACCAACAAAAGAAGGGGAGCTCCCCATCCTTCCAATTAAGTCTCAGCTCTAGTTCCAATTATTCTATGATTCTCAATTAGGAGAAAGCATGAATGGAAGATTTTGAACAGAGGCAACAGAATAATTACCCTTAGGTATACAAGCAGAGGACTAGCTTTTCTTAATCCAACCCACTCAGTTGGATCAATGGGTTTCCGGTAGAGAAGTGATTCATTCAGGTCTTCTTGCTTTACTGTTGTATTAGGCTAAAATGGAAGGGGGAAAAAGATATTAACTTTAGTTTTGAATTATTCAGCAAGGGACAAAACTAGGACTTGGCTAAAAAAATCCCCCAGAAATCTGTACCAGACTTCCTCATTAAGAAATGGCTTTATAAAAGCCCTTCAAGACACCTTCAAAATATACTAATAATCACGTGCTGTTAAGTCAATTCTGACTTACAGCAACCCCTGTCAGGATTTTCCAGGTAGACAATAGTCAGAAATGGTTCACCATTCCCTTGTTCTGGGAGAGTCTTCGGACTGTGCAGCTTGCCCAAGGCCATACAATCTGACTTTACCTGTAGGAGGCACAATAAGAGATTGAACTTCCAATCTCTGGCTCTGCAACCATATACCTTTACCACTGAGCTGGAAATCCCAGGTATTCAATCCTTTTAAGGCAGGGGTTCCCAACCTTGGGCCTCCAGATTTACTGAATCCCTTTAAGGGACCTACTAATAGTAGACATTGACTTTTTTCAAGGAGGAAGCCATCCCTGTGGCACCTTTAAGACTAACAAGTTCTATTTTACAGAGAAGGCATAATAATTGTCCTAAAAATAAAAGCAGAAGATTAAAATATTTCCTTCTTTTCCCAAGCCATTCAGTCGGATCAATGGATTTTTGATAGAGACGTGATTTACTCAGTTTTATTAGACATGTATTTTTGTGTGGACTGAACTCTACTTCTGATGCATGATACCACAGTCACAGTAGATAGAAAATTTATATAAAGAAAAGGCTACTGCTTACCATTGTGCAGTTGACTGTTGCAGGATTAATAGATGCTAGTTGGTACAACATTTTGCAGATGATGATCACACAAGTCCATACTGTGCAGACACTGGAGGCTAATGGACGGAACTGAGAATATGGCAAAGCAAAAGCCCAGGCAATCAAAAACACATAGTTGAGGAGGGAAACCTGTGAGCACAAATGGGAATAGATAAGATGCAGATTAGCTGCCAACTTTAGAGGGTAAATGATATTTCATTGTAGCTGAATGGAAAAAGATATTGATGGGTGAATTCCATCATATAAAGCACTAAACACTTTGGGAACCTGTCAGAACAACTCTCCCAAAGAACAACCGCCAGTTCACCCACTCCTCCCAGGCCTTGCTTCTTAAAGTGGTCACACCAAGGGAGGTCAAAAGAATGTCACTAGAAATAGGACTTTCTTGGTGGCAGCGCCATCACTGTAGAATACTCTTCCACTGGAGGAGCACCAGGCATTCACCTTCTGTATTTTTAGAAAACTTGTAAAGGTGGAACTTTAGAAAGAAGCATTTAAAAATATATTACCCCTGATGTCATAATTTTAGGACCTATATCTGGATGTCATCATGACTTCTTTCTTTCTTTCTTTCTTTCTTTCTTTCTTTCTTTCTTTCTTTCTTTCTTTCTTTCTTTCTTTCTTTCTTTCTTTCTTTCTTTCTTTCTTTCTTTCTTTCTTTCTTTGTAGCTGAATGGAAAAAGATATTGATGGGTGAATTCCATCATATAAAGCACTAAACACTTTGGGAACCTGTCAGAACAACTCTCCCAAAGAACAACCGCCAGTTCACCCACTCCTCCCAGGCCTTGCTTCTTAAAGTGGTCACACCAAGGGAGGTCAAAAGAATGTCACTAGAAATAGGACTTTCTTGGTGGCAGCGCCATCACTGTAGAATACTCTTCCACTGGAGGAGCACCAGGCATTCAACTTCTGTATTTTTAGAAAACGTGTGAAGGTGGAACTTTAGAAAGAAGGTTTAGGACTTAAGATCTTTTCTTTATCATTATAAATACAATCAAGTATTTGAATGATGTGTTTGTTTGTTTGTTTGTTTAATCCCAAAGTTTCTGCATTGTGAGATTAAGCTATACTGGTGTTCACAGAGATTATTGAGTTTTTATGCCTTCTTTTCTGTGTTCACCACCCAGGGTAGTATAATACTATTTATTAAATATATAATAGTGATGATAATGATTATGGTGGTGATGTTTATTCTAAGTACATTTGGGTGCCCAATGTACCTTCAGTGACATAATTCGAAGAAACAGGGGCTGGTAGGTTACATAAACAGGAAAGTGATTTGAAAAAGTTCTCAATGTTCATTTAGAGGTTTATAACTTAGGTTTAGGACTGAAGATCTTTTCTGCATCATTATAAATACAATCAAAAATATATGACACTTTGAATGATGTGTTTGTTTGTTTAATCCCAAAGTTTCTGCCCCTAGGTGCTTATACTTGAATGTGAACAGTGGAAGAGACAAGAAAGAAGGCAGAGGGAAGGGAAGAAAAAAGGAAAGCGCAACAAGGAATGAATGTGACTGTTTAGGTCAAGGTCCAATAAAATATTCCTACTGACAGAGCAGCCTCAATCATACATAAAATAATCATTTTAAAAAACATAAATGTCTGAATATTTTATCTGTGTGTTTTTTTAACATATAGCTGTATTAATATTGTCAGCCACCTTGTGTCCCAGTTCTGGAGAAAAAGTGGAATATAAACAAAACAAAACTAACAGGAGGATGACCATTCCCTTCTATAGCCCTCTTAAAGCTTGTTCCAGAGGGCCAGGCAGGCTTATTGAAAAATGCAATTGGAATGACAAAGGCTCTGGGTCTGTTCAGACCAGCTTATATACTGGTATAAGGATTGCTGCTGGTACGGTTTGATTTGAAACAAGTAACAGCATCCACACATGTTTTTACTTAGATTGATCCATTCTGCTCCTTTAAGAGCTGTCACACACCTTTCTAGCATAGCACGAGGACATGTGCTCTTTTTTGTATGATTCAGCATGATCCTAATTAGCTCATTCTTTATCCTGTGTGGACGCTTAGTTCACACCCAAACAGAGAAGGGTGGAGATGACCCTTTAAATATGCCACTTACTTTATTCAACAACTACAGAAAAGGAAAGCTGGCTGAATGATGCTTGCAAAAAAAAAAAAAGGCAGGGAAGGAGACTATGTTGATTCCATGGGTTCCACCCCCACAAGGCAGCACAGCCCGAACAGTGCCCTGGTTGAGGAGAAAGGTGGGGGAAAGGGGGTTATCTCTCTTCCTTCTCCCCAACTATCACTCCAACATTGTGCCAGTACTACTGCCATGAGCTTGCCCTGCCACGGCTAACCTCATTTGTGAGTAAAACTGGGTAAACATTACTCATGAGTAAACCAGCAGTCAAAAGACTTGTGAGGATCAATCCCACAAGAGAACAAACCTTTCCAGTGTGAATGGAATAACTGCTCTAGTGAGAGATAAAATAGATCAAATTGAAGATCAGAACCTTTTAAAAGTGAACCAGACCATTCGAAATTCCCTTGTCTAGATACGGCCCTTAGTTGGGCAGAAGTCCAATCTTTGTTTTAGACTTAAGCTTAATTTCTTCTAAGGAATTAAAGGAAAGTCCTCATCAAAAATGTGTGTTTTGCAGATGCATTTGAAAGATGAGATGAGATTCCATACTTGATACCACTTACAGGAAGAAATTCAAGACAGAAGTTGATAACACTGGATAATGAGTGGAGCAATTTAAGAGACAAGAAGAACAGAGATGAGTAGAATTAAAGAAGAAACAAATATAAAGGGCAAATACTGCAGCAATGTCATGGCAGAACAAGTGTGTGGAAAGCTTTAAAAGTGTTTTAGAAATGGACTTTGGATAAAGGTGAAAATGGAAGAAGGAGAGCAAGGAAAAGAAAGTTACAGTAGTAAACGGGGACATGATAAGAACAGGAGGTAGAGTTATAGCTAAATTGATGGGGAAAATGGTAGATTCCTACAGCTATGTAAAAGAACAAAATAATAAAACAGAAGCAAAACTTTTAAAAATGAAAAGCTATGTTCAATGCAAAGTTATGTAGCAATGCAAAGCTATTACTTTGAAAGTTACATTTTGATGTCTGAGTGAGTTTTCAAGTGTTATTTTTGGGAACAAGCCAAATGGCTCACACCATTTTGTGGAAATACATAAAAATTAAAAGGATTCTTCAGAAGCATAAATTTCACTGTTTCAAATTCAGAGCACCAAATTATTAAATGTTGTGGGGTTTAATGTTTTAGTTCCAGAACCCTTTACTGAAAAAGAATCAGCTGGAAACTTCAAACCCCAAGTAGACCATATAAAACTTATTTCCTATATTTAAATAAGAAGATAAATTGGTTTAGTTAACATTGATATTAAAAGAAAAACTAGAGGAAATATCCATTATTTACTTGCCTCTTTCACTGTGACCCAGATAATATATGACGAAACAATCTTGATAATGTGCAACTCCAAAAGCCACCAAACAAAAACTTGCAGCTTATGAAAGCATTCCAGGAACTTCAGAAAAAGTACCGTGAGACGATCAATTACCAAATGCCATTTGTTCCTTAAATCTGCAAAGACACATCAAATGTAATGTTAAAACGTTTTTCTGTCTTTGCAAACAGAGCAGTTTTTATCTTCAGCTGAAGATAACATTTCAAGATTTCCTGCTCAAACACAACCTCTGTTTTACAAAATAAAATGATATGAAGGATCAATTAAGCTGCTTATTTTTAGTTAAAGCTAAATGTGACTGAAATTGAATTGAAGCCATTTGTAGATTCCTAAGGTTTCATAGCTCTTGCTAAACAATGTTGTTTTCAAATTGTGTTATATAGCACATATTGCTGATATTGAACAAAGGATCATTCGAAATAATATTAGTTCCTCCATCTCTTCCCATATTTTTTTACCATCAGTACTTACCAGCCACAGATAGAGATCAGTTACATTGTCATATTTTGACCAAAAAACAAAAACAAAAAAAACAGTCATCATTACTAACTAGTAAAATATTCTTAACTGAAAAGACTCAGAGAAAAAGAGGAGGGATGTGGTAAGTATGTGTGTGTGTTTGACAGGAATGTGAATGTTTTAATTAAACATTGGCAGTTATCTTAGATTAATCACTTGCAATTAACAAGAAAACAAAATTGACAAAATATGTTTCCATACGATACCTGATGTTTCTTCTGTCTCTGATTCATCTTCATCCTCATCTTCTTCTTCCTCCCCTTCCTCTCCTTCTTTTTCATCCCTCACTTCCTCAACTTCTTCCTCCTCTACATTCATTTCGAGTTCTTTTTGTTCCTGCAACATTTTTTCTTGTTCTAGCAACACATTTTCCTGATCTTGCAATACATTTTCTCCATCCTTTCCACTTAAATTCACATTTAAATTCATCATTGTGAGATCAGGCAGGCTTCCATCTTGGTGTACCAACCTATTGGTAGAAAAAATGTAAATGTCAATAAAAGAAACACTTGTCATATTACAAACTATCTTATTTTGTATAATCAAATGAAGAGGAAGTGCATGAATAAATGGGTCAAATACATTTTAGGAAGTAGAGATTCTACATAGCATCATACCAAAGTAGCAGTTACTTGTCACTCTGATGCTGGTTATTCCCATTAGTAATCAGTGATATTGTCACCTAAACTTGACATTTCCCCCATTGAGGGAAAAAATGGTCAGAGTTTAAGATGTAGAAGCATGAAATGACATGTTGTAACAGCAAGCATTTCATGACTTCACATGGGGACTTACTCATTTTGGCGGATTGGTAATTTTTTCTTGATGCTGCTCAAAGTAATTGAAACAGAAAGAAAAAAGGAAATGAGAGGAGTTATAAAAGAAGATCAGAGATAAGACATCATGCTATATAATTCACTAGCATTCTGTTAATCCATCTGTGAAAGCCTTCAGATGCCAGGAGCATGCCATTCTGGTATTAACAGGATGTTTCTACTGAGATGGAAAGTGAATACTGTATTATACTTCAAAAAAAGTTACTATTTCTTACTTTATATTCAAATAACATATAATTCATAATCTGAATATATTTTAAAAATTTTTAATGTAAAAGCCAACATTTTAAGTCCCAAGGCTTATTTTTCCAACTGCAGATAAGCACAGGCAAGCAAAAATTCCTATATTTATTGTTGAAAACATTATATCTAAGTTTGAACCAGCTCTCCACATTGTTTTAGTTATGGCAAATCTCAGTATGATACATTGAAGACAGGCTGTGGTATTTTTCTTTTGATGCATAAATGGAAGGATGATAATAGGAGGGCATGCTGGGAAATACAGTTTCATTAATTCAGCATATTGCCTTTTTCCTACAGAGAAAGGGATTGCCTGGCTAGTTTCAGACTATCATGAAACTCAGGAAAGTATTTCATGTTTCATTATAATTACGATTTAAATGTAAATGCTAATTACAGTGGTATATGTACTTAAATTATAAGTTATAAAATATATGAACAATTTAACTAAGTAACCTTAAAAAATAACTCTACATGGTGGCTGAAACCCTGTTGCAGTAACCTATGCCATTTAAGGCTGATGATGTAACCAGCTGCAGTGATTTTTCAAAAAGTAACACAATTACTCCCCTAAAGTTCCTAAGGTTTTTGCATAATCCTGTTCATTGCTGGGAAACTGGAAGCCATGGGGAAGCCTTAAATTACTGAAAATTGCTGCTGTCAGCAAAGTCAACCTGGCGGTGGCAATTTTCAATAATTAAAGATTCTCCTTACTGTCCCACAGTCCCCAAGGCCTTCTGCCAATGAAAGTGATTACATGAAAGTTTTGGGACCTTTGGGGGAGAAATCAGATTTCAGCTGGTAAATAGTTATGACAATGATTTCCAGGGGCAGAGAGTGAGTCAAAGAATGTTTGATATATATTTCTTAGGGTGATTATTATTACTGATCTATAAGTAATAATGGCAACCACATCTCCTGGACGTTCTTGTAATTAGCTTTGGTCTTTTAACTTCCTTCATTAAAAATAGTTTTTTCACCACCTGCAACTTCCTCATTGGTTCATATCTTTGGAGTCCTTTGGTAAAGTGGTCATTCTGTCCATGAATTTCCAAGCTCTCCTTTATAAAGGGAACAATAAAAGACCCTTGTGGCACTGTGGTTAATCTGCAGTACTGCAGCCAAAACTCTGCTCATGACCCAGGTTCAATCCTAGGTAGCTGGCTCAAGGTTCACTCAGCCTTTTATCCTTCTGAGGTCTGTAAACTGAGCACCCCACTTGCTGGGGGCGGTGACAACTGTAGCCTGCAGAATTAAATTGTATGCCTCCCAGAGGGTGCTTTAAACGCTATGGGGCAGTATATAAGCAGCACACTTTGCTTTGCTTTTAAAGCAGTCATAATTTATTCTGGCATAAGATTTGTTAACTCAAGCCTAGGGTGTTAGAGGTAATAAATGGATTCTTGTCCACAAAAAAGGTGGAGGAAGGGTGTCAGTGTCTATTTATTGGATGTCACACAGACTCCTTTATGGCATTGCACTTTTTTTTACAATGACAGCTTCCAGTAGTGGTAAAATTTTCACATAAAGTCTTACTTAGGCACAGGACAATCTGACAGCAGGAAAACTCGGAAATAGAATCTTCAACCCTGATTTAAAATGACCTGTCTATTGCTGCAGCATACCTTTACTGCTACTACACCGCTGTTTTTATACATATGGGTTTTGGAAAAGAAGGATTAATAATGAGGAGGAAGTCTGAAAGTGCCAGAATGAGCTTATTATAAAAAAAGATTAAAACCTCATACCTAATTAAAGCTTGGGAGTTTCCTTCCAAATTCAAAATGCTGGCACACTCAATATTCTAGACATTGTGCCTTGCTAAGCTTATTAAAGTAAATTACTGATTTCAGAGTTACCTATTTCCCCACACTGTGTGTTCACGATTGTGGCCATTATAAAGGCATTGTTTTCACACATAACAGAGAGATAAGTAGTGAAAGAACTTGGTGCTGCCACCAGTAAAATATGTATACTGAAAACTTTAGAGGAGTACAGTGTTGGTGATACTGCAAAATATCTTAAATAAGTGCAGATTATGATAGGCCATGATCAGAATTTATCAAAGCTGCTTTTTGTCACAACCCAGACCACCAATATTGATTTGGACTCAGCGGGGAGGGTCTGACTGGGTCAGTTGCACTATTCTCATAAGCTTGAGATCTGGGCCCCGATGCTAATCTCGAGTCTACCAACAAGAGATAATCCAAGATCCTCTGATCCCCAAACCATAGGATCCTTAGGGATTGCAGCTCATAAGGTTAATGACACAGAGGAAGCAGTGTCCTTGTCACCAAAAACCAAAATGTGCCATCAAGAATTGATGGACATACAATAGAATGATAGGGTCCAAGTCAGGATTCCCACTCTCCAGCAAAGGGGCAGAACAAAAGAGATCGAGTCAGGCTGAACAACTAAATAATAACTCCAAACCTTTGTCTGACCTACTGTATCCACTAGTCCATTATGGGTTTATCATTGCCAGGACTGAACAATGTCCTCTGTTAATTCTTCCTTTCTCTTCTCTATGTTATGCTGCAAGATGCTCTGGCCTTTACAAATTGTAGGGAAAATGTACAATGTTACATGAACAATGTATAATGTTCTTCTTAAGTGTCTGGACATCCAGAAGCAGCATACTGCTATTGAGTGGGGTGCACAAGACCCAGGGTTTTTACCTGGGGTCAGATGAAATGCTACATTCCGTTTTAAATGCAGAACTTCTTACATTACTGAATGAATGAATAACTTCATTCATTCATTCATACATTTCTGACAATGTTCGGCTGTGCAAGACAGGCACATTTTATTTACATATTTTCCTCAATTTATTCTTACCTAAGCAAGCACACTTGAAATGCCAACACTTTAACGGACATTTTTGTGTAGCTTCTTATTGCCTGCAGCATGGGATGGATTGGATGAATGCCATTCATCATGTCAGTTCAAAGCAATTCAGGTTTTTCCAAGTCTTACTAAAGAATTTTTAGAAAAAAATTGGCCCTGTTTCAAAAGCTAAGTAAAATCCAGCCTTTGAATCTCCTTTATCACCACTTGTACTCTCAAATGCTAATTTTCCTCCTCTTCTACTTACCATAGGTAGGAAAAATTTTTTTTTTAAAAAAAAAAAACTAAAACAGAGGTAGGAAAAAATTTTAAAAAAAACTAAAACACCAAGAACATCCTAGCTGGCATGTCTAGTCTGGCTGGGGTATTCTTGGAGTTGTAGTTCAAAAAAGTCATGTTTCTGATCTCTGCCCCTTACACAGGTAGGTGGGTTGGGTGAGGAAAAGAGAGTAAAAGCCAGCAAACAGACCTTGCAGAAGACAGATTTTTAGCTTTCCAACAATGAGGCATCTGAGCACACGCACATGGGAACTTTGCAAAGCACACATCTTAACTGTCCCACAAAATGAATCAGGAGCACCACACAGTCACAATTTCCAGTTATCGTAGTGCGGGTGTCAAGTATTCTTAGATTAAATTGAAGTGAGTGATGGTTTAGGGGAAGAGTCTTTAGATCAACATGGTTTTTCTTCATAGTTCCTTTCAGTCAATCAGTAAAGAGAAACAATATGTTAAATAGACCATATACTTCCAAAATTTTACACCTATGGGAATACATTGGAGTTCCAAAGCCTTCAGCTTTTGACAACTTTGTAAAAAAGTAGGAATTGAAAGTTGGACGTAACATGGTGATGTGAATAATAGTAACAACAACATTCTATTAAGATGATTCCAACTTACAGTGACCATATCAAGGGTTTTCTAGCTATAGAGTATCAGGAGTGGCACTCTCATTTTGAATGTGTTCTGGGACTTTGCCACCAATTTTCTTTCCCAAATGTAACCTTTTCTGGATTATTTATTCCTACTCTACAAAATTCTTGATTTTCAGGAGCAGTGGATTAGTGTATGAGGCTGGTATGAGAAAGGAGTGGAAAACCACTATTCAATGTTGAAGTCTTTGGACCATGCCAATAACGTGATTTTATAACTTAATGTTAGATTTACTATAATCTTTTTTCCAACTACTGACCACCGTGACAGAAATGCAAACTGGTCAAAGCAGAAGGCAATACAAAATATTTATGTTGGTATCATAAGACACCATGAACACAACTGATTCGTTTTTGTTGTCTAAATATCTGGCTTAGGCTTGCATAAGGAGGTCCTGGATATCTCTTTGTGCAAATGCCCCCAAATCCCACTAAACCACTAATGCTGTATCTGCTACATAAGCAGTTTGAATCTAACATACCAATCGGTGAACATAAAATAATCAGTTCCATGTTATACATATATCCACACACCTGTCTAATATGAATATGTATGTTTCTAATGTCTGCTGGGTTTGCCCTGAAAGCTGTTCAATTTCTCAAACAAATAAGACAGCCAATTAAAATAGTCTTTAAATTAATCTTTAAGATTACTAGTGTATATTTTAAAAACTGGTACAAAAATAAATATCTGACTAACTTGTCAATAATTCACAGATGATTTTGAAAAAGAGTATACTCAAACCTCAAAAAACTAGAATGATTGATACAGTGAAATCCACTCAAAGATTTGGTAAATAAAACATATATTACAAGAAAAATAGTTTGTAATTAAAAAGCGTTTAACACACTGGCCAACACCCTGTTTGTGCGGGTGTAAGGCAAAGTTATGCCCACCTTAAACTGATGGACATTACACTGAGGCAACAGGAAATTGCACAATTTGATTGATTCCCAGTGTGACTGCTGGGTAATGTGCTGGTAGAAGTGTTTCATGGGCTCCTGTGTCACTATGCAACAGGATTTCAGCTACTGTAATGTGAGTGTAACAAGTAAGCATGGGCAGCAATCCTCCCATAGAGGAATAAAGAAATGTGCCAAAGAAAACAAAGCATTATACTACTATGTGATTCTGCTCTTGGGAAAGACAATGAGAAATAATCTACATCTGTTGTCTACATTTCTAAATCATACTGCTATCTGAATGGCCATTACACAGCCTGAGTCAAAATCCATATACTAGTGATTTATGCTGCCATGCACACAACATTTATATAAACGGAGAATTCCATTCCATTAACCAGTAAGCCTTTGATGCATACCAGTAGGACCCTGGGCACACAGACAGCATTATTTCTTAGGGCTATAGCTTGCGTTGTCGCCATTTTAATAAAGAAAATGCAGCATGCAAGGAAAAGGTACAGTGTTGAGAGAAAAGAAAAGCAAACATTAAAATACCCACCTATTGATTATTAGGTAAACACGGCCATTGACTTTGGCATGGCTTTGGTGTGAGAGATGAAAGTGCAAGAATGCATGGGAGAGCAGCAGAAGAATTAGTAAGAGAAAGAAAGAAAACAGAATAAAGTTAAACAAGAATGAATGTACATAGCCATCTTAGTACAGGAAGCACACACAATGAAACAATCAGGTTTTTAAAAGCTTATTACAAATTGTGCAGCAACAAGCACCTGGAAATATACAGCTGCCCCCTGCATCAATATGTCAGTAAAGACTGCTGAAAAACCTTTGGAGACTAAGCAAACTAGAATATAAGTGGGAAGTAGTAGGGGTACACTATAAGAAAGACATAAAATATATGTTTACATATAAAGGATACAAATCATTAAAACTGTTTGGGATTCTGAAAAACCAATATTAGTATTGTTACACCAAAATTTGGCACTGCACTGCAGTTGATAGGGAAAAAATCTTTTAGTGCTAAAACAAGGCAAGGCTTTGATAGTGCAAGATTTCAGTTAAATCCAATTTTAGTCTCAACTACAGGAGAGCTACATTAGTGCTGATAACAAGAATTCCCATTCATTTCAATAAGTCTACTCTGGGTGGGCTAAAACTGGATTTAGCACCTTTTGTTGGAAGAGGGTCATGCTCCCTGAAGCTTTCTGGCCGCACTTTCTGTGGGGTTTGTTATATAACATAATAACATAAAATGTCATTTTTCCTAAAGTGGAAATAGGAGAAAACGTCTAGCTGCCAGTGCATAGCAGAAGGAAGGCTGTGGTGTGTGGCCTCTTCTGGAGTCCTGAGGGGCATAATTGGGCCCTAGATCCTGCAAACTCACCCACCACTAGCATCTGTCAGTGAATATGTAATTACAATGAGTTACAATTATCAGTTCCTGGTCACAGAGAGAAAAGGAGAATGTGGAGAAGACAGTGGAACATCCAGAAACATGTACAAGATACCCAGTAACTCTGTTCCAGTGCCACCAAGTTGAACGAAAAGGAAAGGAAAGGAAACTGAACCAATCAGCACTGTAGGCAGGGGAGGAGACAGAGAGTGCATAGTGAAGTACATATTAATGTTTGAAGGCAGCAAAATGCAAGTGGGATGATCTATGCCAGCTATCTTGCCAATTTAATGCCCACAAATATCTGTCTTAGGTTAATAGGGGAGCACAGATAGCTATGATGGCCACTTCCTTCTGCAGATAGATCTGAACCCTGGAATTAATGAGTTTTTTAATCAGTCTCTGATTGTTATTTCTATTTGATGAGGATATCCTGCTCAAAATTCACTGGCAGGTTGGTTCTTATGCTTGCCAGACTAGAAAATATGGGGACACAATACTAAATGTATCATAGGAAATACTAAGATTTTGTTTATTTACTAATAGGCACACCCATCCACCCAAATTTCATGTAGTAGTTATTCACATATTTTCTTTCTCAAATTTATAGTGACTTGACATTTTCCATTAAAAATGTATTCTTGTTAAGACACAGAACTTTGGTCTCATGTTTGGCCACTACATGCTTCAAATCTCTGAACAAATGTTTCATATATTTGCATAAAGAAAAAAGTCAATAAAACAGGATTGTTCTAAGTAAAGAAGCCAGGCAGAAAAGATCTGGAAATCAAACGACATTTTAGTAATAGCAATAGAATTCTATACAAGATTTTTTTGATGTGCTGTTATTCAATTAGCAGCTGAGCACGGGCCACAGAACTTAAAAGTTCTTGTTCAAACTCCAGTATCATATGCCATAAGATGATAACAGGAAATGGAAACTGCAGTTTCCCCAGACCAGAAAAATGAAGGCAATGAAAGCAAGAAACGTTTTTGTTACCTGTAAATAGCACTCTCCTGCTTGCTGATTATGGCTTTTAAATCTGTGAGCTGGAGGAAGCGGTCATGGAAGTAATGCAAATGTAATATGCACACCAACAAAAACGAGGTTGGAATAAAGATGCGGGTAAATAATTCTGCCACTGAAAACTGTTCTAAACCAAGATCCTTCAGTCTAGAATATAAAAAAGTAGAATTATAGCAATTTTAGCAGATCAAAACACATTTGGCAATGTTTTGAACATGTCAGGAATCACATTTTCTTCTGGTTGTTAAACAAGCAGAACACCTCTAGTTTTAAAGAAGAATGGCACAAAATTAAAAACATCCATTACAATCCATACAAATTGTAGACTGCTAATACCTATGCCTATTAACCACTGAGCCTTGTGGCACAGTGGTTAAACTGCTGTACTGCAGCCAAAACTGTGCTCACGACCTGGGGTTCAATGCCAGGTAGCCGGCTCAAGGATGACTCAGCCTTCCATTCTTCTGAGGTCGGTAAAATGAGTACCCAGCTTGCTGGGGGGGGGGCAGTGTGTAGCCTGCATAATGAACTTGTAATTTTGCAGGCTATATAAGCAGCATGCTTTGCTTTTTTTTCTTTTTGCTTTGTTGCTATACAAACTACAGTATTTTTAACAAAAGCTTCTGAAAGTGGCATGGGAATCAAGAATGCCCTGGTCTTTACAATGCACACTTGTTCCCTTCCTGAGCCTTGTGTGTACTTTAAAATGTGTACATTTTCAAGCTTGCAATACATTCCAGAAAAGAAAAATTGTGTCCAATAACATGTGCACATTTGAAAACCATACCATTCTAAGCAAACACAGCTGGAACAGTGAGTACATACATAGAGAAGTGGGTATATAACACATTGTTTCTTTTGAAGAAAGAACAACAAAGTTGTAGTGCCCCTGTTTAGTAATACACAAACAAAAATGACAGAATATGACTGGGTGTTCCCTCCAAACAAAAAAGAAGACAAAAACAAGTATAAAAACCATTGGTCACATTAGTTGGAGGAGGAAGCTTAGCTTTAGAATTATAGCACTTTTAAAACAGTGGTCTAAAGAGCTATATATATTAGATGATGATGAAAGGATGGGACTTCATCATTAATGAAAAAGAAAGATAAAGGTAAAGGGAAGAGAATGGACACCAAGGAATAACCTTTGGTCACCCAGATGCTTGCAGCATTGCTCATTACTTGCTATGTTGACCTACAGTTATGCTGGTAAAAGCTGAAATCCAACAATGTCTGCAGAGCCATATCACCTACTGCTGCTCTACAAATTTCCAAAACATAGATATCTAAAGACATGTGTCTTCACAGATACCATGAAACGTATTGCTGCTTGGCAGCCTCCATTCAGTTCTGTGCAACTTCAGCAGAAGAGTAGTGTCACCCATAACCATCATTCATCTGCTCATGTAAAGTAAAATAACAGAAAATACTTACTGTTCATCAGTCATCCCTGTCATGTTTTTCCACAGTCCAGGAAATGATTTAAACTGGTATGTGTAGATGAAAACAAGCACCAGCATAGTATAAACCACCACTGACATCCAGAAATATTTCAGAATTCGCCGCCACCATTCATAATGCACCTGGGAGCCAAATATCATTAGGGATTATTTTAACAACCAGTACGTTTTCTACAGATACACTTGTTTCTGTTCAGCCCATCAAAGGCACAACTATTTCTACATTAATCATTAGGGAAGGAAAAGGGAGACACTGGACTGTATCTGTGTGAAAAGGATTTGCTAAAAATAAAGTATAATAATAAGATAGTAATGGGCAATTTGAAAGAAGGAAAACCATCAATGACGCAGTTGGTATTTTAAATGCTTTCATGGAATGCAATCTGTCTGTACAGATGCAAGAAAAATGTTCTTGCCACTATAGAGCCATGGTTTTGGCTGTTGTTTTTCTAAGAAGAAAACGAGGTGACATTCTGGATAATGATGGTTCCTTTTGCAGGAGACAGTACAGCTTGCAGAGAGTTCTGGGACTTGAAAAAGGTCACCCGGACCTCTGGAGCCTGCCATCCCTGCTATAGTGATGATAGCAAACCATAGGCCTTGATCCCATACTAAAACATGTCTGACTGGTCATTGATAGCAGAGAAATGTGTACTTATTTTTCTGAGATGCTGACTGTACCAATAAAGTTATGCTATATCTTTTGCCTTTTATGTGCTGTAGAGATTATAATTCTTTGATCACAAGAACTCTGAAGGAGAAGGTAAGTCTGGAGTAATCCAAGGGTCTGCTGACATAATGGTAAAACATAATACAATATGTAACTTAATTATACCAGTTGGCTATCAACATAATTGTAGAAAAACAATTTTTTCCACTACTTACCTGGTACAATACGACACAGAACAAAAAGAGCATCATATAGATGATTTTGTACATGACAATCTTCCCTTCAAAGCTGACGAAGAAGAACATTCCTCCACAGACATAAATCCAGTACTTAACAAACATAGCCATCACCAAATTTCCCAAAACTTTCATCACATCTTCCTCCTCCTCCTCCTCCTCTTCTTCTTCTTCAGATTCCTCTTCCTCTTCCTCTTTTTCCGATTCTCCTTCACTTTTTGGGGATTCTTCTTCTGCAAATGCAAATATAAATACAAAAGCAAAAAGTAACTAATGTTGTGTCTGATTACCATATATTAATAATTATGTTCAATCCAGTCAATTAATCCAGTCAATTCTGACTTATGGCAACCCTTGCCACAGTTTCCTAGGTATAAAGTAATTAAAGGTGGTTTACCAATCTCTTCTTCTGGTGCTGCTCTAGGACCTGTTCAGTTGGCCCAAAGCTGCACCAGTTGACTCTTTTCCCAGGAGGCACTCTGAGGAACGGAACTTTCAGGTCCTTACTCTGCGGCCAGACACTCCAACTCACCGAGCTATTCAGTCAAGTTTAGCATACATTACATGGCTTTAAGTTGTTGGTTAAAAATAGATCTATTTCTTTGTAAAATGAGCAGGCTAGCCAGTTTTTGGAAAAGCTATCATACTTAAGGAAGCAACAGAATTCTTGGCATCACAGCCAGGAAAACCTTCTGCTAGTCCATCTATATTGTGTAAGCTTGCTGCCATATGAACCAAAAGCTCTCTTTGGTTCAGCTTCCATAACAAACAGTGTCAGAAAGAAGAAGTAAATGAACAACAATTAGGGAGTGATTCTCAGTCACTGACAGCTTGAGTGGGTTCTTGTTTCCATGTGTACCACATATGATTTTACTTGTGGTCTATAAACTGGCTCAATTTTCTGTGATAGATGCTTTGCATCATGCTTGAGTTTCTGTTGCAATGTCACTCAATGACTTTCAAATTATGCATATTAATTGTCAGAAACAGGGTCACTGTATTTGACAATTTTAAGTATCTTTACATGGACATGTGACTGAACATACATGTATGTAAAAAATTGTATTTGACAATTTTAAGTATCTTTACTTTACATGGACATATGTGACTGAACATACATGTATGTAAAAAATTCTTAAAGGTAGGGGTGTTCTATCAACAAAGTATCTATAGTAATATAAGCTGAAGTTATTACAAAAAGCTGATGGAAGTTACTATTTATCAAATCTGCAGTCATGTGTAGACAGGCAGAGTAGGCTCCTCAATCAGTGAATGATGGATGGCATTCCATCTTAGCATGTAATTGTTTTTGCCTAAAAGGTATGCAGGATCCAATCCCATTGACCATCAATTAAATTCCAAATCACGGAAATGTGATTTGAAAGTAAAGGACTTTCTACCATAGAACTAGTTCAGTGAAACATACCCAGCCAGAAAAGAACCATCACTGAACATGCCCGCATCATATCCCATGTTTAGCTTGGATGAGCAAATCATGGCCCAAGGGTGACATATAACCTCCTGAGAATATGGATAAATCCCTAGGAACCCCTCTCACTTCCATACTGCCGACTACCACTGGAATTGTGTTCATCTATTTGCAGCAATTATCTTTCTTGTACTTATAAGGCCTCCAGAAGCTGTGGCTTTGTGACAAATAGAGCCCTGGTCACTTCTAGTTTTGATCTACTTAATTTTGGTGCATTATCTAGGTGGTGCTGTCCACTCTGCTTTTAATAAACAGGATAATTTCTGTTTTTAAAAATATAAAAAGTGTGCTATAAAATATAGTAGGGTCTGACATATCTAAAACATCAATTTCTGAAGAACCAAATACAACTTTAAACTGAGCATAGCTAGGGTAGTTTTCCATTAATTAAATCGTATAAGGCAATCTAAAACTCTGTTCAGCCTCTATTATTACTGGAATTAGCCCTGTTTCTTCTGTCCACATTTCTGTCAGCCTCCCACAAAAGTAGAGGAGCAACAACATCTGTGACATGAGTTAGGACCTTGATTTTTCAGGGGCCAGACTCATCTTTATGAATAGTGGAGGTTTTCCTCTTCAGAGGCATCATCTTCAACATGCAGGAGAGTGATGAAACCATGGATGGATGGGATAGAGCTAGCATGATCCTCTTAACTGTGGTGAATTTACCTTAATACATCATTCCATACTAAGTATTTTGTCTTTCATCCATTTGATTCCGTTTGTTTGTTTGTTAATAGCACACTTAGTAGCTTTCAACAAACACTAACATTATTAATTTGAATGAAATATGACTGGCTGAAGCACTCAATAGTGATGGCCATATGAGGAAGTCAAAAGATGCATAGTTGTAGGTGTTGCCACACCTCACTACAAGATTGCTATGTTGAAAATTGCAGAAATTATTCATTCTGGTTCTACTACTCTATGGCACACATATCCAACAGTCAACCCATGCCTTCCATAAAAAAAACTGCCTCACAATTTTGAAGCAAAGGAAGCAAATTGTAATTCACAGGAAACTATAAGACTACAGAAACTGCAAAGATAATCATTCCTTTCTTTTTCTTCAAACATGAAGAACTAATAAAGTCCAACTAAAAAGAAGAGTGAAATAAGCTGCATCTAAAATCACCCACAGATGCATTCTCAAAGGCTGTTGTGGGTTTTCCAGGCTGTTTGGTTGTGTTTTCATGGCTGTTCTTCCTAACGTTTCACCAGTCTCTGTGGCTGGCATCTTCAGAGGACAGGAGTCAGAACAGACCAGAGCACAGAGTTCTGACTCCTATCCTATGGTGCGAAAAATACAGTAGTTCCTACTCCAGTCCTCTGAAGATGCCGGCCACAGACTGGTGAAACATTAGGAAGAAAAACCTTAAGAACATGGCCAAGCAGCCTGGAAAACCCACAACAACCAGCACTCACAGATGTTTTTTGATCAGAAAGTGCTTGGCAGTTATTTATATGGAGAAAAAAAAACCCTCTATACCTTATGATATAAATTCAAATCTGGTCATAGCTTAGACCGGGCGGAAACGTTGACCCTATCCAACTTTGTTTCTGACTGATAGGTTATTCTCAAAGGAATGTGATCTTTCAAAAAGCAAAGTGTGCTGCTTATATACCATCCCATAGCACTTAAAGCACTCTCTGGATGGTTTACAAGTTAATTATGCAGGCTACACATTGCCCCCCCCCAGCAAGCTGGGTTCTCATTTTACCGACCTTGGAAGGATAGAAGGCTGAGTCAACCTTGAGTCAGCTACCTGGGATAGAACCCCAGGTCGTGAGCACAGTTTTGGCTGCAGTACAGCGGTTTAACCACTGCACTAAGAGGCTTTCACAGGAGACTGTCTGCCAACTCCTGCTCTGAAACAACAGAAAACAACTTTGTTCCATCATCTGTGACTACTCTTCAGATATGGGCTGGTGACTGTTGTATCGCCTCTCACCCAAGCTAAAAATATCTAGCTCCTCAAGCCTCTCTTCACAGGACTTGTCCTCCAGAGCCTTCGCCATCTTTGTCACCCTTCTTTGGACATATTATAGTTCAGAACTATGCATCTCTAAACTGTAGTGCACAGAACTGAATACAGATCCTGGTGAAGTCTAAGGTAAAAAAGGGCAGCATTATTACTTCACACATTCTGGATATTATACTTCTGTTGTCATAGCCTCAATTTGGTTTAGGATTTTCAGCAACAGTATCAGATTTCTCACTCAAATATACAGTAGGATCCAGTTATCCACAGTATCAGTATCCAGTGATTCATTTATCCACGGTCTGAAAATATTAAAGAGAAATCCATATATATGAAGCAGTTACCAGAACTGGGCACTAGAGGGAGCCAGAGATCATGCTAGGTAGAGAGTTCGCTAAAAATATATGTATTTCTACAATGTATTCGCGAAGGCTTTCACGGCCGGGATCTAATGGTTGTTGTGGGTTTTTCGGGTTCTTTGGCTGTGTTCTGAAGGTTGTTCTTTCTAACAGAGCACAGAGTGCTGTCCTCTGAAGATGCCGGCCACAGAGACTGGCAAAACATTAGGAAGAACAACCTTCAGAACATGGAAAAAGAGCCCGAAAAACCCACAACCATTTCTACAATGTCATTGCCAGAACGGGCCACTAGATGGAGCCAGAGACCAGATTATGAATGTATGTCATTACAGAAATGATGTTCTGCATTTTCCGGTATCCACAAATACAGGGGTCCTACTGTAGTTAGTGATCTTTTAAAGCCTCTGTATCTGTTTCATATACTGTATTATTAAGGGTTTGGACACAGGCTTTTTCTACCCTAATGTAGAACTTTACACATATCTCATGAAAATCATTTTGCTATTTTAATCTAGTTCTTGGTTATCTTGAATCCTATTCTTTTATTTTAAGGCATTAGCTACTTTCCCTAGTTATATTATCTGGAAATTGTATCACCATTCTTTTTCTCTTTTGCACAAGTCTTTCTAAATAAGTTTAACAACACTAGACTTGGGTTCTGGTTCTGATTGCTGGCTGGTGGCAGCTGCTCTTTCCAATTTACCTCTGTTTTTGTTTCAGTTGCTCATTCAAACAAATCATAGTAACTTTTCAACCTTGTCTTAACTTATGTTGTCATTTGTTCCCTGCTGTTGAGTGGAATTGTTAGAACTTGTTTTGAAGCCAAAGAATTTCCACTCAGCCACTCCATGGAGCCCGTTTGCAGGAGCGCTGTTCATTACCATTGACTGCAGTTTTCAAATTTCCAGTCTGGAAATTTGAAATTTAGTGTAAGATTAAGGTAATGCTTTGAAAAAAATAGTTGGCGTCAGAGCACTAGACTCAGACAGACACCCCCAGAGCATTTCACTCATCATCACTTATTTGCAGGCTGATGAGGCATCTCTGATAAGCATCCTCAGATGCCACCCATTAACCAGCTACACATTTACCTCACACTATCATTATCTACTCTACATTTTATCAGCTTGCCAATAAGAAAGTGGTGGAGTCACTTTCCGAATGAAACTGAAAGGAATATTTACCTTTTTCTTCACTCTCTCCATCTTCCACCTTGACTTCAGATAAAATAGTTTCCTTTAATTGCAAGGCTTTCCTCTCAGTGAGGTGCTGTCTAAGCAGCAGCCAAAAAGTAACCACAAATAGAATCTGTAAGCAGAAATGTAAACAAAACAGAAGGAAGTGGGAGTGATTTGTCATGTTGTGTAGGTGAAAGAAAATCTGAAGAGTTCTTTTTTCATCCAAACTAATTTTGCAGCATCCTTTTAATTGTATTTATGCTCAGATCTTAAGTTTACACAGTTTTAATATATTTCCCCTTACCAGACATTTGGAGTCATGCGCTTCAAAACAACAGACGGCATATATGACGGCAGTGGGGGCGGCCTCATCTTCAGAGGCTTACCAAGTACATTCATGAATATAGCTGTTCTCTTTCCTTAAAGGAATAGGTGAGCACACTGGCCCTAAGGCTGGGTTCATTTCTATTTCTTTTTCTCTTTTATACATTTTTGTGCCTGTACTGGTTATCAGCCTTAGTTCTAATTACAAAATCTCCCAGTAGGACAGCATCTATAAAACTGCACATTTTCTGTTCCAACATACGGTTTGAAAAGATGTGATAGAGAGGACTATGGTCAATTTCCCTTTCTCTGTCTATTGAGGCCATTTAAAAAAAAAAGAGGTCAGAATCTAATTCAATATTTCCAGCAAAGTAAGTACAATGGCATAGCTCAGAGCAGTGAACAGCTGCTAATTAACAGGTTCTCAATTGAATTCTCAGCTGTATGCCAAGTTATACAACTGGTGTAGAACTTTGAATTCCATCGGGGACTTACTAATTAGTGGCTACTCACAATTCCAAGTTATGCCATTACACTTAACACTGGCAAGAATACTGAACTGGATATTGGCCACTGTATTTTTACTCCTTCTAACGTATCTAGGAGACATCCCTTAGTTTACTACTTTGTGTTCATACATCCTTTTCATGCACACCACAATTTAATTTTCCTCACAGCCAACTGGGTTTAGACAAGATACTTTACAAAATATATAATCAAACCTTATGGCAAAGTTGCTAGCAAAATGTTAAAACAGTTAAATCCCTTGAGAACAATTTCTAACATCAATGAAAGTGTATGATATATCTATCTAACAGAATCTCTGCACCATTTAATCTGTTTCAAAAGCACTAATGCTACCTTTGAGAGGAGGTGTTTGCTTGTTTTCACATCCATTATAAATTAAGGAGTAGCCAGCAGGGAGTAAGAAGTACAGAATTTACTTTGAAAGAAGATCTTGCACTTTATAATGAAGAAGCTTAGGCTCGTGAGACATAAGAAAAATGAAGCCACAATCCATGAAGCAAGTTCTATTAGGTTGAGTTTAGAAAAAAAATTGCTGTACTACTCAAAAACTGTTCATTGAGATGAAAGGAGATATTTGAAGTGATATCCAATTCAGTGCAAGAAGCTGCATTAAAATGTTAATATTTTCAAAGCATCATATATGCCCATGCAGAAGAATAATAGTCTGCTCAACTGATGGTCCAACTAATTGGATCAATAAGCTTTATATATGTCTTGAGTCATCATTAAGCAACCAATTCAGTGGCTGAAATCAGGTCCATAGCATAAGCCAAATCACAACTTTCTGGCTGTTCCTACCTTGTAAACATAGTGTCCCTGCCACAATTATTGGGAATGCATTTGCATGCTGGCTTGGTACTGTACTTGCACATGCACCTCTGAGAACAGAAGTAAGGATGCTTTATTTACCAGGGAGGAATGGATAGAAAGTTACAACTTGCCTCAAGCCACAAACATGATTTCAGCTTTTAGTCTAACTCTAGTTGGGATTAGCAATAGATTTAGGCCACAGTTTTTTATGCTTATGCACTTGACTTTTTTTAGCACACTCCCTTAAATAACTAACGTAAAAACCAGCGTGTGATTAAAAGATTCAGAGAACATGAAAACTTACATTTAATTCAGTGCCTTTTGGGTTAGTCTAACAAAGGTATTACCACAATTGGGAACTCAGTAATCTTTGAATACCACTTGATTTTTAAAAACATTACTTACTTTTGATCCTAGCTCTATAGGAGGCTTCCGTTCTAAAAATCCTGAAAGGACAGGAAGTTCTTCCAGGTCAATACTCCATATGTACTGTAATGTTACTAATAAGTTTCCATAAACAACCATAAATGGTGAACTGATCATGGCATATTTCCTTCGATCGCGCAACATCCAAAGTATGCAGGACCATATCAGCAACACAAATGTTAACCAGCTATGGTAAGTAATACTCCAGGCCTTGGGGGAAAAAAGAATAATGTTTAGTACAATAATAAAATGAAAAGATATGTTTTTTCAAACATGCAAATGGGTCATTTTATAAGTCAAAAGTACAGGTGTGCCAATACCATTCACTTTGATTCAGTCCAAATTATTTGCTTTACTAATTTCAACCAATTTCATTCAAGCTAATTTGTAGTCCATCCAATTTGATTTACATCCAACTATTTCAGTGTTTGTACCTTTTTTTATTTGTACAAATAATGAAAAAAACTTGAATATTGAGAAAATAAAATGCTCTGACATAGGATGGAGGGTGAAATTCACTGGAATCAACTACTGCTTGATCTCCACTGTGCAGGCCAAGATTCTACCACTTGCTTTCTTTCCTTCCTTCCTCTGCTTACCTGGAGCAATGTAATTTACTCCTTGCCCAGCTCCTGCCATTTTATGAAGCCATCCTTCATTAGTCAGGCACTGCTACCCAGCTGTCAATCCCTTTTGTATCCTTTTTGAAATTAAAACTGCTGCTCTGAAGCAAAATTCAGTGCTTTGGAGAGCTCTGATATGATTAAAGTGCTGCTTCAGGTTTCCTTGTCTTATTTTGGATCACTCTGGAAATTGACAAATAACTCTGTCCATTTTCCACCAGAGCCCTTTGATTCCTCTTCTGAATGAATTCCAGATCCGAAGTGTATCCTTAGCTAGAACAATATACGTACTTCTAGCTATTCAGCATCTATTTCAGTTAATGATAACTGATCAGCTTATTTAAATAAGTGGCATCACAAAACTTGTTTTTCTAGGGTCATACAGTTAAAATTGCAGTGTCCTTTCTAACTTGTTCTATGTTTTGATATTGCAATGGCAGTATCTGATAACTTATTTTTGTTTTGTTTCTTCTAATATAAAAAAGTGCAATGGCAGAAATGTTCCTGATGCATCTAAAATTCAAAACTGATTATTGCAGTACACTAGTGTTCATATTTATGTTGAGTCAGATAGCTAATAACTGCAAGTTAAATATGTAGAACAGAAAACCAATAGCCTTTAACATAACCACCATAAAAGATACTACAAAAATATATATTAGTTCCGTTTCTGAGTTTTTATAACCTAGTTGTGCTAAAACACTTTCCCAGTAAAATCAGCATACAATGGGACAGTGCAAATTATGTTCATAGGCCTCTATGCCATCCAGCTCTGCTTAATGTCACATACTAGATAAAACATGTGAACTGTAAAAATTTGCACTGAGTCAACACTATTGCTTCCTACCTCTGATTTGGAGGCAGTCGTCGAGATTCATTGTGCTTACACCAGCTGAACACTGGCAATATTTACATAAACAATTTAGAAGCTTGAAGGCACAGTTGTACCAATGCTAGGTCAAATCGAAATAAAGGTTGTTCATAAACTAACTTCTTATGGAGCAAGACAGAAGACAAAACTAAAAGGAACAGAAGACTAATTACCTCACATGTTTGTACCATGTGTACATTTTCAGTGCTGTATGTACTTTTAAAAGCACAACACCAAGTCAAAGGAATTTTTGAAGCGAAACAAGCAGCAGCTTCACAAAGGCCAAAAACATGGTGGTAAAAGGACTCCTAACAGAAATACTTTTATTTTACATTGAGAGATCATATTAAATGTAGATATAGCTCCAAAAGGAGTATAGGAAGACTGCAGACTTGATGGATGGATGATTTTCAAAGATCAGTTGGATTGGCATCAGTTAGAATAGAGCAAAACAGAAATTGTGCAAGCCTATATCCAACATTTGATGGCCACAGGCTAAGGAAGAAGAAGAAGAAGAAGAAGAAGAAGAAGAAGAAGAAGAAGAAGAAGAAGAAGAAGAAGAAGAAGAAGAAGAAGAAGAAGAAGAAGAAGAACGTGGTGATAGAAATATGTTCACGGGACATTATAACAATATGAGAACTTCAGGGAAAATAACTAATTTATGATAGTTCTATGATAATGTTAAAAAAAAACCCTGCAAAATGAGCAGGCAATATCTAAGAAGATTCTTTGTTTTTTAAACACATATTGTGTTTAAAATATGGATTCAAAGTTACATTTTATTTGGATTTTTAAAACTGTGACATATTCAGATTTTGCCCAACAAATTGAAATTCCCCTACTACCACAGAAACTGTTTCTCTAGTATTTTCATCTTACACTAGAGAAAAATATACTGTTTGTTGAAAGCAGATCTAACCCCTCTGCAAAAACATTTCCAAGAGACAGTATGTGACTTTTATTTTAAAAAAAACAACACACTTTTTATATCACTTTTTAGTGGTTATCTGGATATAAAGTGACAAAAAGTTTCCTTAGTTTGGTGCATGTTTGTGATGTCGGGTGACAAAATTTTCAATGACAGGGTAGCTGAACTCTCAACCATAAAATTGTCTAAATTCTAAGATGGACAAAAAGCAAGAAATTATTTATCCTACCATCATGGCAATCAAAGCACAAACATAACTCTGCTTCATGATAAAATGGAAAACTGTGACCATTGCATGGACTTTCGAATTTTTCTCTTCTTTAGCATCTTCATCCTCTTCTCCCTCCTCTTCTCCTTCCTCTTCCTCCTCCTCTTCTTTCATTTCTAAAGGAGGAAAAAAGAATTATATGAGCTGCAAGATTCTGAAAATATTAGGGAGGACCAAAGGGTTCGCAGTAGACATCTTTTGTGAAGTTCCTTCTGTTCATGGAAAAGGATATTTGGACCCAACCCCTGATCCAAAGACTTCAAACTATGGTAGGTTGATGACAACTCCAAACTAGGATAACTGGATTAATCAGTCTATTTGTTATCTGCTTACGTTCATTTATAACTCCGTGTCTCAACTAGAAGAAAAATTCTAGAACAATAACATGTGGTAAGGAATTATTACCAACAATGTTTTAAAGAAACCATTTGCTATAGCAGAGGTGGAAAAAGCATGGTAGGGCTCTGCTTCCTCTTTTTCAGTAAAAATAACCCAAAACAAAACACTGAACTTGAGCTCCTAGAAGCTTCCAGCAGTGGTGATTTGCCTGTTAAATAGGTCTTCTCACTGACTATAATTTTCTTTATTATTTGTATGCATACATATTTTTCTATATATAATTTTATCCAAAATAGATCCAGAAACACAAAAATTAATTCCGAAATAATTATTGATCCTACCTAAGTCATCTGCTGATGGGTCCCACTTGTAGTGTGGTCTTGAGTATATATCCACATTGGCAGGTCCATTCTCTATTGGACGCAAAGGGTGTATGCTGTGATAATCAATAGGTGTACCATTCACTGTCAGGCAGAGAACCTGTTGAACGAAGATTAGAGAAAGGGATTCCTTTTAAAAGCTACTACTTGGGAAATCACTTTTATTTTTCTTGTTAAAAATATCAATGATGCTTCAAGTTTATTCTCTGTTCATTGCCACCATATACATTAAATGTTGTATTATGAGAAGGAATTTGGGAAACAGATCAATTCTCAAACATGAAACACATGCTAACATGTAAATCCAACTGGTCTACTACTGAAAACACAGTTAATTGAAAGTAATCCAATTACGAACTTTTTAAAAAAGTTATTTTCTCAAATTGTCAATAGAACAACAAGAATATAACTATGCTTTCTTCTCACTTGCTCTCTCTGTTATATACCACAAAGTCACCCAGAACTTATGACAAGCCTAACAGAGTTTTGAAGCTGTCATAACTGCTAACTTGAACCCACATTTCCTGAGTTCTAGAACAACGTTCTGCCCACAATAGCATTGTAGCTCTCTCAGTTTCACAGTTGAATTATGTTATTCAGATAGATTATACAGTAAGTAAAATGCTTTAAATAGTAACACTGCAGTTAAAGTTAATTGTCGGCAGCCACATAAATCGATTGCCTTGTAACATTTTTTTAAAAATGTTACTCTCACCAACAAGGACAAAAATAGGGAAATGTTTATATTTCAACAAGCAGAACAGTTGGCCACGTTTGTGCTGCAACAGTGGTCCTAGAAAGATGCTTCAACTTCAAGAAACATCATCATGACAAAAAGGAATTTTGTGAAATTTTGGAAACTTCTGAGACAGGCGGCATAAGGATCTACTATTCACAGAGAAAGAATGAAAAGTCCATCTCAACAACAAGCTTACTGGCTTGAGATTCTATGTTGAGAAATACAAATATTAAATTTCTGCTTTTAAAGTACAGAAAAACATTTTTTTTCAGTCAAAATCATTTGTAACATGATTCTTGCACCTAGTTATAAATATAGAACACAATATTTCCTAACATTAGTTTGCTAATTATTGTCTGCCATGTCATAACTGGCATTATAACATAGAGTAATTTATTTCTCCAAATTAGAGGTGGACCACATACAATCCTGACCCATCGGGTGCATTTTTGGGCTCTCCAGCAACCTTGGGACTTCCAGGCCCCCTCATGCCCCAAATTAAACTAGTTTTCAAAAAACAATTTCTCCACAAAATCCCTTTATTGCCTTCTACAAGATGTCAGAGCAAATATTTTAAGGGCCCCAGCACGCCTGAACCCACCATATGTTTACATATCCTCTTGAACAATTCTGGCCACTAGACGGTGCAGAGAGGCTCTTTAAAGTTTAAAATAGAACTGTTGTTGCTGTTGCTCACATTCTTTTTTTTCATTAAAAAAACCCATTAGGCAAAACCCTGATGCATTTTTAAAATTAGAAGCGGCCATGGGAAATCACAGCTGACAAGGTGCCAAGTGTGTACCTGACCACAAAGCAACTCAGTGCCTCATCTGTTTGTAACACCCACTGCTGTGATTCCTTCTGCACACATACAAAAATGTAGTGGGATTCTGGGTATTGTGTTTAAATTACAATACAGAAGTACTGCATTTAAAACCATAAAAGCAGTAAAAATATAGACATAAGCATCCTTGGCCATGCCCTTCCACCTTAGTCCTGTCTTTGGAAGTGCAGTGCTCAGTCTCCCAGCAATTCTGAAAAAATGGCTCTCAGCCCCACTATGACCACACCCCCTGACTCTAAACCTTACTTTTCCTTCAGTTGTGTAGTGGCTTGCATACCACAAGCTGCGTCTTCTCTCTGCAGTCATTTCAATCTGGCCGACATCTGTGTCATCTTCTCTGTTACCACTTTTGTCATCATTAGGTACAGACTAAGAAACAAACAAGACTAAATTAGTTTCATAACAACTGTGAGAAAGTAGTTATCTAGCTTCAATTTTTCCTCTAATAATTTTAATAACTTTGCAAATTATCTAAGAGGAGATCCCTAATCGCTATGTTTTCTCAATTGCTATATTTTCTCAAGACATCAGCAGTTTTTGAAGCAGTTGGCATGTTAGTTTCAACATTTACAAGAAAATTAAAAACATGCACAAGAAAATTAAGTGTTGTTGTACCTTGAAAAACAAGATTTACAGTGGGGTCTTGACTTGAGAATTTAATCCGTATTGGAAGGCGGTTCTCAAGTCAAAAAGTCTGTAGGTCAAGTCTCCATTGACCTACAGTGCATTGAAAACCGATTAATTCCGTAACAGGCCGTTTTTGTTCCATTCTGGTTTGTTTCTGGTCTGTAAGTCAATTCTCAGGCTGCAAGTCAAACCTAAATTTTGCGGCCAGAGAAGTCTGTAACTCAAAAAGTCTGTAAGTCAAGCTGTCTGTAAGTCAAGGGTCCACTGTATTTCACTGGAACTTTTGTGGATTGCAAGCTAATTCCTCAAACACATGGAACGCAATAGTTAGGCCATAGGTTAGGCTCCATGTACATAAACTTGTGACCCAACTACAATAAAATATGTGTCTGAGGAAGTGGACTGCCATCAACAAAAACTCACATTGGAATAAATAATAAATATATTTTTTTAAGGTACCACAATTCTTTTCTTTTAGTTTTGCTGTACATTTCAAATATCTATATATTATTTTGTTAATATTTTATTGTGACTATTAGGCATGTGTACAAGAGTCAGAAAAAAAGAGTAGGGATATTTTTACATTACTGGAGGAGATACAGGGTGGCTCAAGAAGGGTGCCCCTACACATTACTGACATTTGCCTCAGTGTTTGAGGACTTAAAAAGGCTGAGATTTGAATGAAAATACCTGGCTGGATTTGTGTAGCAAAAGAGGGATGTGTCAGAACAGAAATTTACAGCTGAACTTCCAGTGAAAGATAAAAACTCAAAACACCAAGTCCTATTTATTCTCCAGCCACCAGAAAGCACTGTTACACATTCAGGCATGGCAACGATAGGGTGCTACATCACTTCTTGGATTGGCAGTGTTCTACAATATTCTTTCTTTTGCTTTTAGATAATTACACTTCATCTTCATTACCTCTAGGACTGAGTGTGTGTGTCAACAAATGAGGAATAACTGACTTGTATGGCTGTGATTGGTTAAGTCAAAGCAGAGCTAGGGACTATTCCTCATACCCAACCATTTTCCCTTTTCTTATATTTTTAATACATAGTGTTGGTCTTTATTTGCACAACCATTTTTATCTTCCTGTGCATGCATGTGTATGTTTCAGTAGGTTGTCACCAAATGTGCAACTGTGTGATATGGGTTAAGTATAGAAAAGTGGGCATACCTATTTTATTTATTTATTGTATTTTAAAGTATGCTTTTATAAGATGCCATGTTTTTGTTGACTAATTCTTATACTATTACTATATGTTTAATCATTTTTAATCACATCATTTATTGTGATTTTAAATTTACTTATAATTTAATATAGATGTTTTGAGTCCCTTTAGGAGAGAAAGGCAACAAATAAATTAATCAAATCAGTCAATAAACTTACATCTCTCGGTCTTAGCTAGATAATAAATGGGCTCATTTGGGCAAGCCAAGACATTGACTGGGGAAGTTAAGGGGATATTCCCAACACACATGTTCCCTGAGCATGACTCCTAGGAAAGGAAGAAGGAAGGAAGGCGGGGGGGGGGAGGAAGGAGGAAGGAGGAAGCTGGTAGGAACTCTGCCTACAAACTGAAGATTCACCACATCTAAACACTGATGGCAGTACATGGTGCTCTCAATTCTACATCACAGCCTGTATTTTCTATATATTCAAAAGACAAAACAAAACTCCAGCCTGGAAATATATTAATTCCTACAGATAACTCCAGAAACCCAAAACAAATAGGTTCAGATCACATCCAAATCTGCGCAAGGCAAGTCAGTCCTAATCTGTGTGGCAAACATTTGGATACAAATTGGATTGTACCATATTCACATATCCCTCATGCCTATTATGCCTATTTAGATAAGTGCTAATGCTACCGTATTTGCCGGCGTATAAGACGACTGGGCGTATAAGACAACCCCAACATTTCCATGAAAAATCTAGCAAAATTTGTTATATACTCGACGTATAAGACTACCCCCTCCCTCTGCCTTTTACCCCACCAGAGGGGCCAAAGAGGGAGGAGAAGGAAAGCAAGTTTCTGGGGTGGGCTACCAGCTGGCCCGAGGCAGAGGCCAGCGCCTGCTCGCTCGCCCGGCCTCCGGAAGTCTCCTCGGGAGCCCAGCGCGTTGCAGGCAATGTTTGTTTGCCAGCTTCTCTCCTCCTGGGCAACATGGTGTTAGGTTATGGGGAAGAAGGAGGCAGCGCTGCTGCTGCTCGGGCAACATGGTGTTAGGTCATGGGGAAGAAGGAGGCAGCGCTTTCCATGAGGGCAACTGTGCGAGGAAGTGACTGAGCTGGTGGGGACCGAGCTCCGCCTGCTTCTCGGGCTGGGCTTGCCTCTCCATGCTGCTTCCTGCTGGGCCATGCGGCGTCTGAGAGCCCAAGCCGCCCGCTGCCTCCTCGGGAGAAGAGGCGCAGCCTCTACCTCCTCCTCTTCCTCCTCCTCCTCCTCTTCCTCGTTCACCTCTCCTCTTTCCTCCTTGCGCTACGTGCTGCCCACTCTGGGTGCACCCACCGTATAAGATGACCCCCCCACTTGGAGGCATGTTTTTTGGGGCAAAAAAGTCATCTTATACGCCGGCAAATACGGTAATCAACCTCAACTCTTTAGCATACACATTTAAGCAACACTGCAAACACCAACAATCAATAGCAACTTCTTGTTACAAGACTGAATTCATATCTTTAAAATGACAGTGGTATCTATTTCTGCAAGTGTCATAAAAGAACAGAAATTAGCTCATACAGATTTGTTAAACAGCACTTCCATAGCTCTTCCATTAGCTCTAGTGTTAATTTTATGTTTTATAAGGATCAGGGTGGGCAACATAACAGTCTTGCAGGTTGCATGCACACACACACCAAGAAGAAAAGCATGCATTATTGAAGCTTGAGTTGTGTTATGCCATATATGGACTATTATTGTGTTGGTGAGCAGCTGAAATCCTTGCTTCATCCTCCTTTCATGCAGATGTGATCTCTCTTAAATATGTGTTATATGGAAATAATTAAATTCTGAATCCTATGTGCTATTTGTAACATGTAGGTATAACCCTGTATGACCTATAACACATATTTATGTCTTCTTCTTAAGAAGTTTTAAGGGCACATTTATTAACTTATTATGTGCAAATATCACAAGCTACCACATTGGGTTTCTATACCCATTTCTGCAGCATTTTCTCATTAGCATGCAGACGAAAAAGTTTGGTTTACCTGTTCAATAGGTTCATGTAGCCAAAGTCGAATGAGAGTTGCTAGGGTGTAGTACAACAACAACAGTAAGATTGGGCTTGTATAATGGTACCATTCCAAATTTTGGTTGGTTATGATTTTCCAGGTGCTTGAACAGTTTGTCTGAATGACCGAAGTGACACCAAACAACCTGTTGAAATAATAAGGCATCACAGAAAAAATACAGTAGGATTTCTTGCTCCCAGGCTTTGAATGCATTGCCCTGAGAGGCCAGGCTGTGCCCACCCACCCCGCAGCCTTTCATTGTCAGGCAAAGACTTCGCTTGTCAGGCAGGCATTTAAGCAGTAAGTGGGGATCTAGGGAATGCTTCATTTAACTAAATTTAGATTTTTTAAAAAAAAATGTTTAAAACATTTTAAAGCTATTCTCTAATCTTGATTCTAATATTGACCAGTGTTTAATTGCTTTAACTCTAATTTCTATGTAATATTTTAGACTTGTTAGCATTGCATAATTTTAATTCTTGTGATCTGCCTTGGGTCCCCTATGGGGAGAAAGGTGATTATAATATAATATAATATAATATAATATAATATAATATAATATAATATAATATAATATAAGCCTTAGTTCATCAAATATCTCTATAGTTTGAATTCACAGTATCCTGCCTAGTCTTGTAACATTTGCAAAACTGTACTCTCTTACAACAGGAATTCTGAAAAGCCAAACAACTGCACAGGATAACATACTATAAGCACTACTTGCTCTTCCCATTTTTTTTGTGAGATTTTTTCTCTTTTCATCTTGGATATTATTTGCTTTTTTTATTTTAAAGATGCTAGAATGCACTGGTACAATATTCGTAACCAATGTACCCGTTTTAGTCTCAACATAGCAATTTACATTTGAAGACATGCTGCTGAGGTGGCAAGCTGCTTTCAACAGCCTCTAATACTGCTCAAGTGCTGCAAAGATGTCAAAGCAGGGCAGGAATAGTTCTTGGCAACCACACTATGAATGATCTAATGAACATGACAAGTCACTGTATGGTGATATGATTTAATTTGCATCTTATCTTAGAACCACAGAGCTGGAAGGGACCCTACGGACCATTGAGTCCAGCCCCTGCTAGGGAGGCATAGTGGGGAATCGAACTCTCAACCTCTGGTTTTGCAGCCAGATACCTAAACCACTGAGCTATTCAGCAGTTCTTTCCAATGCTGGGGCTTGCGATATAAATGTACTACATTGTGTTTATGCAGCGTCACTAAACAACCAAGACCTTTCTTGAGGTTCACAACCCTTTCCTTGTTTGAGCAGAAGTATTGACTATATAGTTAATATACAGTGGTGCCTTGCTTAGCAATTGCTTCGTTTAACGACAAAATCGCTTAGTGACAACTTTTTTCAGAGCGTTTGTACGCTTTGTTTAACAATGGTCCCTATGGGCGATTTTCGCTTAGCAATGGTTGGGACCATGCTTCGCATAGCGATTAAATTTTGGGTCCCCTGTTTCGCTTAACGATGGTTTAAACAGCCTCATGTTTGCTGTTTTTAAAATGTTTTTCTGTTATTTATAAAGTTAAAGTTTACTGTTTAAAATGTTTGAAATCATAAAGTGCACTTAATAAACCCTTTGTTAACCAAATTTGACTTTGTTCTGACTCTTTTTTAATTTGTTGTTGTATTTTCCCCCCATTGAGATGCATTGAATAGGTTTCAATGCATTTCAATTGGGGAACTGCATTTCGCTTAGCGATGTTTCCTATGGCGATTTTCGCTTAAGGACGGCAATTCGTTCCTTCAATGAATTTCAATGGGAAACCGTGTTTCACTTAGCGATGAAATTGCTTAGCAGCGATTTTTTTGGAACCAATTAACATCGTTAAGCAAGGCACCACTGTATATTCTAACTTTAGCAAATGGGCAATAGGCATGGTTGATACATACCAAACAATGTTTTATTAATACAGTTAATATCTTATACAATATGTATGCTATAATAATATTATATATTACTCAACAGAAATGCGACATACTAATACAGAAAGGTATATGATTTTTCCTCCACATAGAGTACTGATCTTCAGCTACAATGCATTCTGATTCAACAGTATTGATTTGCTACATACAACACATTTTCCTATACAGTTCTAAATTATAACTACCTTTAGCCATTACCATCTGTTCTAGTTCCAGTAAACATAACAACCACTCATTAGTAGTTCCTTCTCATGAACTCTTCTCTTCAACTCCTCAATTCTGCCTCCTTACTGTCACATTCTCAACTGATTCCTCCCTTTGCTTCTCACTGCCAATCTCCACTCACACGCAAATCCACACTCTCTACCAGTTACTCCACATTTCCATGGAACTCCTGAGGTTAAAAAAAAACCTGAACAAGTGAGAAGACCAGCCTTCTTCTTCCATCATCACGTTCTTCACACAGAAAAACCTGTGAGTCTTCACTATATTTGAAAAATCAGCTCTTTTGATCAGTCACATGAGGAGGTTGCATGCATAGAGCAGTGGTTACCAATGTTGGGTGCCCACATTGAGACCACAAATCCCAGAAATCCTGGCCAGCACAGCTAGTGGTGAAGGCTTCTGGGAGTTTTAATCCAAGAACATCTGGGGTCCCAAGGTTGGCAACCACTGGCATAGGGAATGCCATTCTTCTCAGATTATCTTTCTGAAGAGAGCACTAAGGGAAGGAATGGCTAGTGTGCTCTCTTTTTACATACATCCGGGTTACTCATAAATAGAACACTGATAAACATATTTTTCCCTACCACCATTAGACAAGATACTGCTATAAAAGCTACATGTTACATTATATTCTCCCTAAAGAAATACATATGGCCCATCACTTCAGACTTGAAAGAAAACTCTTAGAATGTTTTCATTTCTGCATATTATTAATGATTTTGTTTTGAAAAAAAATTACTGCTCTTTTAAAAGTGTGGTAAATCAAACTTCAAGTTGATGTTTTTTTTGTGAGGGAAATATGCCTTTAAAGACAAATTATAAATATAATTATATATTATAAGATAATTATATAAATAAAATCTCTATAAACTGAAGGAAAAAGAAGCAGTACAAGTTCATATTTTTAGGATAAATTAATATTCATTAATTTCACGTTGCTACCTGAAAATTACAGAAGAGCAATAACTTAATAATCTTAAATTATGCAAAGCAAGAAGAATCTTTTTGTCATTCATTCATTCATTCATTTTGAGGAACATTCGTTAAAAGTATCCTGAAAACTAGGTGGCTAGTTTCCCATCAAAAGCAAAGTGAGTTAAAGCACTGAACATATTTTTATCTATTCCTCCCTACACATTCACAACCTATGACCTTGATAGATGCAAGATGCATTGTGTAAAACACACAATGATGTAAGACTAGAAACACTACCCCCTTTGAAAAACAGGAAAACAATTTTCCCACTTTCCTCCTGTTCAGTGTCATTGGCAGTGGAAATGACCACGACAGACGTCCATATATCTCTTCCTTGAGTTTATTCCGCAGATTAACATTTTCTCCTCTGACAATAACAGCATCAGGCTTTTATATATCTATCCTCTCCCTCTGGGTAGGCAATAGTGAATAAAATGTTCAGCGAATATATCTATCCTCTCCCTCTGGATAGGCAATAGTGAATAAAATGTTCAGCGACACCAACACTCTACTGTAGGGGTTTATGGACATTTTAATCCAAAAAAGCTGGAGGTGACTAGGTTAATAAATAAACTTTGGAGGCTTTAACTACAACCATGGTCTGCAAACTAGAAAACAACTTTGGAATGACATGCCTTCTTCCTGTCCCTGTTCCTCAACCTCACTACAAATTCTTTTTACTTGCCTTTTTCGGCTTAAAATCACAGGTTATCATAATATATGCATCAATGGCTCCAGAGGCCAGTGGCTCATGCAGAAGGAGTATCTTCTCCACCACTACAGGATGACACACACTCTGTATGGACATGGGCCACACCTCATCAATGCTAACGAGGTCTCCCATTTGAGTTGGTTTTGCAGAATTAAGAGAAAACCAGGTTACAACTGCCTTAATTCTTCCAATTTAACAGTCATCACAGTCTTTCCATGTTAAATGTACAAAATGTTATTAGCTAAAACAGTTTAAGAAACATGTGCTCATTAAGAAATCATGTGCTTTAATAGCTGTTTCTTTGTTTTTGTTTTACTTAAAGAACAAATGTTCTCTTCATAAAGTTAAATTCTCAAGAAAAAAATCTTAACAAGAAAACCACATTTACAGTGGTGCCCCGCATAGCGACGTTAATCCGTTCCGGATTAATCGTCGCTATGCAGAAACATCGCTAAACGGAACGAAAAAAGCCATAGGAACGCATTAAACTTCATTTAATGCGTTCCTATGGCTCCCACACTCACTGTTGAGCGAAGTTCCTCCATAGCACTGCCATTTTCGCGCCCTTGGTAAGCGAGGGCAGGGCACGAAAACCCTTGTGGTGGCCATTTTGGGCACCCGGCGGCCATTTTGGAACCACCAATCAGCTGTTTAAAAAACATCGCAATGCGAAGATCGGTAAGTGAAACGCTTACCGATCATTGCAATGCGATGTTTTGCCTATTCAGAATATCGCAATGCGATTGCATTAGCGATCTAAAAAATAGATCGCTATGCGGATTCGTCATTAAACGGTGCACTCGTTATGTGAGGCACCACTGTATTTCAAGAAATTGTGTGCACTGTTTCCTTTTCTAAATTCAGGAAGTGTATTTAAGGTATTAGAAAGCAGATAGAGATTTCAGGCAGCCCCATGTGTTCACACTAAAATAGGACACTTTCTGTATAGATTTGTCTTGGATTATTTCAGAAGATGAAAGAGTTCACATAGATAAAACAGACTGTCATTACAACGTTCATAAACTTTCCTGTAAAGAAAATAGTATGACATTTTTCAATTACATCTCTGTACAAGTTAGTGATCAATGGCTGGATGGGGGGAGAAGCCAACAGACCTTCTTTGTACCCCACTGCAAACCAATGAAAGCACATCTGTATTACAATAAAAAACAAACATATACATGCATTCACTCACACACATCCCTGCTGTGTAATGTACTCTCCCGATAATTTACACAATATCAAACTTAAGTGTTTTTACTATTTGCAACACTGCTATTAAGACAATATA